GTCTTTACAGAGGTTTGCTTGTCTGGAGGCAAACCAGCCCCAATACCAAACTTGGCAGCTTGCTTTACTGAGGCAAATATCATCTCTGTTTACATGGGATTATAACCTGTGCACAGACCTTCATTTTTCCAACAGCTGGTGAGCAAAGAAAAATGAAGACCTGCAGATACACATGTTATTAAACATTTGTGTCCGACAACTGCCTTTATGGTTGTAACTCTGATTGGCTATTTCTAGCATGAGTATTCATGCCATATTTAATGTATTTTTTTTATATTTTGATTAATGCTATATTTATAATGAAATAATTATAGATTTAGTGATTGTAACTATATTTAGCCTGTTGTTAAATTAAGTGAAATTGACATTTCTCCTGGCACATTTTGATTGAATACCGGTACTAAAAATAAAACTATGGTGTGGGTCAAGACTTGCATCAGGCTCTGTATGTAATTACAGTGCATAATAATATTATACACTTAATGTCTGCACCCGAGGGAAATAGTTAGTTTTTATGTACGTAGCCGGTCGGGGCAGGCAACAATTTTTCACTTATTGCCCGGGCGGGATACATTGCATTTATCTAAAGTCACGTGACTACAAATCAGCCAATCACGTTTGGTGTTCACACTAGCTATATAACAATGCAAGTTAATCCCCGAGCCGACGGCGCGAAGCGCCGTGCGAGGGTACTAATCCCCCCGGCTATTTACACCCGGGGAAACGAAAGCATTAGCGGAGTCTAAAGTTCATCAATTATCGCGGGCGTGGGTGACGAACGATGGGTGGTCATCCTCACTGATCTAAAAAGTTTGCTGGACTGTCATGAATAGCGGACACTGATTGGTTCAATTTAAAGTTTGCATTACAACGACTGCATGACGACAGCGAAATAGCAAACATTTCTTGGTTTGATGATTGATAAATTTCTTGCAAATATATTTCATTTTTGCTCGCATTTTTCCAATATTTTGTGAATTTCAAAAGTTTTCTGAGAAAGAAAGGGCGAAAGAATCGGCTAAACGAAGGGAGCCGACGTTAACGAAGGTAAGTTTGTTTTAAATATTGATTTTATAATGGATTTAAAACCCGACGGCCTTTGCGTATATGAAACAACTAAACAAGACAGTACAGCATATAATTTCAGTGTATCTTTAATATTGATTCCCTTTTTATAATATTGAATTTTTTAAACCAAAAAGAAAGCAAAGTTATTTGCATGCGAGAATTTGAAATCATTTTATTGCAAACTCAAAGTTTACCAATAAAGCCATTTAATTACTAAAGGCAGTTTAGTTTTATAAAGAACACTTTAAAACGTTTTGCGAAGCTTTTGTGGTTGAATTTTACCTTAAATTGAAGCTTATATTACGTATAATAACATACCTAACATATATATGTTGGGAAATTGATAATTTTGTAATTAAAAGTGATATTTTCAGGCGATTTTTCATTTGTAAGAATATTCTTAAAAAATTATCGTGTTACCATGACAACAACTTTGGAATGGTTTTGTCAGCAAGGCGAAGGTTTCTGCATGCATGCATTTTCTAGTATAATATGATTTTGTACAGTATTCAGTGGTAGGCTAGCTACCATGGCAACTGGTTATGCCACGCCAATAAACCTGCATTTATTTGAATAATGCAAATCAATAAAAACTTGCATAGCATGACCTGTTGCTATGCCAGCTTCACCACTGACAGTGTTTTAAATAGTACATAAAAAAGCAAGAAGTTATAAGCATTGAATGTATTCATATGCATTTAGCTGACCTTTCCACTTTTCCTGTTTACATGATGGAAGGTGGGATGATTTTTGATGCAGTATTGGAATAAGTCACTAGGCTAGTAGGCTAACAAAAGTTCAAATGCTTGTTAACAGAACTCAAATATTGTAGAGAAGATCTTGTAGTTTAAAAAGGTTATAATTGCTGCCCGAACAACCTTTTGTTTACAGTTAACTATAATCTACTGTATCTCTAGAAAAATGTTTTTTGCTGAATTGTGCACTGTGACTCATTTCAATACATCAAAATCATCCTGCCTCATATCTCGTCCTGGCGAAGCGGGATCGTATAAACAACCCCTTATTCAGCAAATTGCGCATGGTGCCATCCCTTGGTGGTGAGGCAACATTTTCCTTGCGATGGTAACTTCTAGTATTAATATAGGTACCGATCGAACCGAAATATATTGGAAGAGGGCGCAGAGGAGTGGCTTACTCCTTAAATATTCATTTTATTAGTATGCAAGAAAGACACATTTTGTACTCACTGTTTTAATGATTAACGACTTTCGGTTGGTAATCAATGACCTACTACAACATGCGTCTAAGGGTAGCTAAGATAAATGTTCTACAATGTAACAACCGAGACACAATGAACTCGAGTGATAATGATCTGAGGTTGAAGGATGTAGGTGATTCATGAGTTACTTGTGTTATTTATCTTAGGATTAAAAAATTAATCTTATTGAGCTTAGTCGATCGAAGTCGATCCAGCGGAGTTAACTTTTTCAATTGGTAAATGAAAAATATTAAAAAATTATGTGTTCGGTAGTGAGGCTAAGCAGTTGATATTCGATTGTGTACTCAGCGCAACCGAGATGAATTCAGTCACGGTTAATAAGAAAAGGTTCCGAGCCGAATTTAACCTACTTGATATGTTATAAAAGCCATATTCTATGGAAGCCAAGTTGAGTCTGTTCAATAGATTAAGAGCTGTCTTAAGGCCCTGTCACACTATTGCGTATCGTACTAGCGTATTCCAGCGTATGAAAAGTATCACTCATACGCCGGTATACGCTGACATACGCTAGGGGTACGTTAGGCATAGGTTATATACGTTTCAAGCACGGTCACATACGGTGGCATACGGCGAGGCAGAAATTTTTTTTTAACCATGTTCAAAAATTTTGTGCGTATCGGAATATGCTTTATATACGATAAGCATACTCTAGGCACACGCTGAACACGCTAGAGGTACGCCAGATGTACCGTACTCATACGCTGGCATTTCAAAGGATTTTTGTGCGTATGAAAATTATTTCATTATCTCATAAACATTTTCATACGCTTCTCATACGTTTCTCTCATACACAATAGTGTGACGGGGCCTTTAGAGCGAACTCGAGCGTACTCAAGGGGACGGTTTGGAGCATAGTCAGAGGAGGAATGAGGCTCTTCCCGAAATGCAACGCGTAAATCAGTGCGGCTCATTATTATTCTCAACGCGCTGTTCGATTAAAAACTGTTGAAATACTGTATATTGCAATTTTTGCTGTGAAGATCTCGTTTTCTCAAAGGTATGTTTTGATAACTTTTTTGTTTAGTAATTTAATAAAAGAAGTTTTGAATTATTTTGTACACAGCTATTTCAATTAAGGTTGTCCACGAGCAAAGCGGAAAAGTCGAATACGAGCGCGAAAGGCTGCTGGGAATCACTAACACATTAATGAATTTTCATAACGATTCCCAGCAGCCTTTCGCGCTCGTATTCGACTTTTCCGCTTTGCTCGTGGACAACCTTAATTGAAATAGCTGTATATATCGCATTTTACTTATGTTACACTCCCATTGTATTTATGCATGTTTTGGGTCAATGAACATGACCTTCAGTGGTATTGAAATATTCACGAGTAAAATTGTACTTTTTTACAAGGACACTAAAATAAAATCACATGAGTGTGTTCAGGAATGTTTACTCTTTATAATGATACTTTAAAACATGAATTTACTCCATAAAACCGAAGAGTTATCGCGGTTTGAAAATGAGCTATTTTACCATATTTTATCATAGCAAAAAATTCCCAAAATAGCTGATTTTCAAACCACGATAACTCTTCGGTTTTATGGCGTAAATTTATGTTTTAAAGTATCATTATAAAGAATAAACGTTCCTGAATTCAGTCATGCGATTTTATTTTAGTTTCCTTAAAAAAAGTACAATTTACTCGTGATCGAATATTTCAGTGCCACTTTGAAGGTCATGTTCATTGACTCAAAACATGCATAAATACAATAGGAATTTAACATAAGTAAAATGCGATATATTATATATATACAAAATTATTCAAAACTTCTTTTATTAAATTACTAAACAAAAAAGTTATCAAAACATACCTTTCAGAAAACGAGATCTTCACACGAAAAATCTCAATATATTTCAACAGTTTTTAATCGAACGGCGCGTTGAGAATAAATATCTTGAATAATAATGACCGCATGCACTGATTTACGCGTTGCATTTCGGGAAGACCCTCATTCCTCCTCTGGAGCATAGACGCGCATACTCAATAGATTAATATTTTGAAGCCATGCAAGCTTGCAGCGGAGGCAAGCCTTTTCAAGAGGTCAAGAGAATACGAGCCGGCTCGTATGCAAGTCCTAGCCTGCTTGCTCATTGGAATAAAGCCACTTCACATTTATCTATCTATGATCTATTTAATATATTGTATACATATATATTGTTTATATATATATATCATACGCATAAAACCATAAACTTATTATTCTTGTGTTAATTTTAAGTTAAAATTCTATTGCTGGAAATTATGGAAAACCTACCTTGTATATTCTCCTGGTTTGGGTATGGTTGAGGTCAGAGTGTAAAAAGACGTTGTGAGTGGATTTACTGGCTCTAAAGGTAAGAAAATTACTAAATCATTCAGGATGACCAGCAAATTGAATGAATGTATTGCCAGAGGACTGGACGACCGGCAAAGGCCAAAAGCAATATGGCAATACCATGCACTAACGTATCCAGCATATGATTGCATGAGCAGCAAAATATCTGGTAAGACAGACGACCAATTTTCGCGTACTGTTGGCTCAATTTGTAGTCTCTTAATCGAAACATATAGAAAGAGTTTTCAGCTTTTAACATTTTCAGCAACTAAGGAGAGTTTGGTAAATTAACTTACCATTATTCGGGGCATACCTCTTTAATTATCAAAATACCAAACAAACAAGTTGGTCGTACGTGCAGGGTTTTACTTTATCGGCAAACCCATGTCACAAGGTAAACTTACTAGTCAGGTTAATCAGGGCCGTAGGAACCAAGGAGGGGGGTGGGAGCCTGGGGGGCTGCAGCCCTCCCACAATAATTTCCTAATAATCATTCTTTTTTCAAAATCATGCTGACCTTTATCATTTGAATAATATACTTTTAAAATACTGACAATTGATTAATTTTAAGTGGCTACATTATCCATGACAAACTGCAAAGAGTGAAGATATTACCCATACTTTCCTGCAACTTATCCAATATATACTTAATTAAACACGCCTTCGCCCAGTGACCCTAATTAACTTGTACATTACAAAGTTATCAACATACAGTCCTCCTGGTTGTTCCGGGTAATAATAGTCATTCCTGAACTTCTTTTTGTCATGTTAGTCGTTTCCAAATATGTGTATATGTATATAAATGTATACAAAAGTATTATGTATATATTGTCGAGCAAAGAGAAATAGTACATTGTGTATGTTATAAGGGGTTAGGTTTTAAGTGGGACGAAAGCCCTGTTCCGTTCTCCTGTCACATATAACTTGTTTTTGTCATGTATGTATGCGTCGTCTTCGTCAATGTAATTTTTTTTTGTATGGTGACAAATTCAATAAATAAAATAAATAAATGCCACTAAATTGTAAATTTCGACATACTAAAACGCTGTGTTCTGACCATCAGAATTCTGTCAAATCTTCCCCCAAAGTCCAGGAAATGGCGTTTCAGAGACTCTAAATTTAAAAATTTCCTCGGCCCTTTGGCCCTCGCTTTCAGCTCCCCCTATCAAAAATAGTTTCCTATGGCACTGGTTAACATGTGGCTGAGTGTGTATATTTTATTTCTTATATACCGTTGTTATACCTTTTATTCAATTTAACGTTTGTTGTATTTGCAGTTTTACAATTAAACAAAACTAATTGAGTGCGCCTATGTGTACATACTTTGTTTTCTTCTTTTCAGTTTTCATCTTGTTTAAAGTGACCCCTCCCCATGATTTTTTTGGGCCCCCCTTGGCCAGAAATCCTGCCTACGCCACTGATAAATACATATTTTAGGCAAATAATTGGAGCAAAAAATTCACAAACATTAAACATTCAAATCAAACTTGGCCCATATTTCAGCAAGAGCTTTGTTTATTGTTAACCTGCAATATATAGTATTCGCAAGTAGTACCTTGTGAACCTGCAATATATTGTTGTTCACTGGAAGGACTTTGTTAACACCATTGTTTTGATATATATAAGAATTACAATTGAGCTGCAGTTACTTACCAAAAGTTTTAATACAAGCCCAAAAAGTTCAATGTTTTGCAAAATTCCGTTACCGACTTTCGCAAAAGGTTATTGTTCAATTATATGCATTTAGTTTAATAACTAGTTTGCATGATTTCATTTAAGCTATTTTAAACAAAATGTATCGGATGATATTTTAAAAAGTTGGGGTATCTGTCAACATGCAGTTGCACATTCCTAGCTTCCGGGACCTTCTGCACCGAAAAATAAAAAATTTTTCTGGGAATTTATCCCCATTCTTTCCGAACATGAGTCTGTAATTCAGCTAATGTTTAATGTTATCCGATACATTTTGTTTCAACTGTGGTTTAAATGAAATCATGCTAATCAGTTATTAAACTAACTTCACAGTTCAGCATCTAACAACGGTACTTATTGGAAATGTCTGTAATAGAATTTTGCAAAATATTTAAGTTTTTGGACTTGTATTCAAACTTTTGGCAAGTAATCTTTCTCATTATCACCTTCTCTCCGAACCAGCTTTTCATTTACGGTAACACTTTTTACTTCTGATTTATCTTCGCCTGCATTATTTTTTGCATCGCATCTGTAAGATCCTGCATCTTTCAGTTCAATTTCTTTCTGGTTAAACAAGTACCGTCCGTTAATTAAGGTATTGTCATGATACCAAGAAATTTTTGGTGGAGGTCTTCCTTTCAGTGTGAGGCATTGTATAGTCACACGATCACCTACACTGACGTTAGTCTTCTCTACCAGCAACTGTATTTCAGGAGGAACTACAAATTTATTAAATATTAAATTTTTACTTGAATTTAGAAAAAACCGTTTTATATAAAACCGCTAGTTGTCAAAGAACTTTCTATAATACAGTAGAACAGTATATAACTATATATGGAACTCTGACTCATGATGTTTCGTGGTGATTTCAAAAAATTCTTCGACGTATCTTAGACAGACCAAATGCTCATTTAAACAAAGTATGCTAGAACTTATACTAAAATTATCACGTTATCAAAGAATGGAACGATTTGCCTTTGAAGTCAGGGATTGACTAGTTCAATTATAGGGACCGTTCATTATATATACCCGGGGCTGGTACCGAAGAGAAGCGAAAAAAGACTGTAAATTTTTTATTTACCCAACCTGAACATTAGTCAAAATAATGTTTACCCAACCCATGTGTTACTGTACTTCATAATAATTAAACACACAAGATTATTGTGACAGAAATAAAATTGCCTAAATTTTAAAAGCTCACTCAGACTCAAACTCACTGAGTGTGCCAAAGCAATCACGTTCCTGCTGATCAATGATAAGAGTCCTTCCTCATTCACTGATGGTCTATATTGGTACGGAATGTATTGTACACATTTTCCTTCATATTTTTCAATGCACGGTAATTTTGGTTTTATTTCATAGCTGATAGACAGCCATAATTTTTACCCAAGCCATGAGCTAGTCAAAAACTTGATTACCCAACCCGTATCTCTTCGGTATCAACCCCTGTTATAAATTATCAACGGTCCCTTAATTAGCAAATTTTAATGAGATCTTAAGAGGCTGTCTCCGTAAAAACCTCCAGGTCAGTATGGGGCTGAAAAATAGATTTCTCTCATACTCTAGTATTTTGAAGATCTATCCTTGGGAACAACTAAAATCGATGTCATTTTACTCAAATTTCCTTTAAATTATTTTGGGGGGCGATTGATGTTCGATCGACTGGTAACCAACTTGATACTCCGAATGAAGGCCAAATATCGACATATTTTCAGCGCTATTTTTTAAATCAAATTCATACCTAAATTTCAAAATTTTGCTCAGAAATATAGACTTATCCTTCTATTTTCGCGGGTGATATGACTTAGATCATTATTCTTTGGTATAAAATAGAAAACAGCGCAGTTATTGACCCTCCTGAACGGATAAAGGATATCGTCTCAAAATATGTCAACTTCGAAAGCTTATTTCAAAATCGTGGCACTTGATTGGCACATGACTTTAACTTTTCTATAAACTACTAACATTCGTCAACACAAATCGCCAATAATATCTTTCTGCTCTACCATTTGACAAAAATGACAAGCGCGCAAACTTTGTAAAATTTGAAAATGTGTCGAAATCGAGCATACTTTATTGGTAAACATAATTCTTGATATTAACAAATAAAACCACCTTACACTACACTGAATGAAGCTTGATTATGTAAATATATGTCTTTCATCATTATTCTTTGGTTTTGCACTCGAATGAAATTGTTTGACTGTACAGTTTGGCTTCAAGGATAGTCATTCAATGCCAGTGTGTCCAGTGTGTTCGAATTCTGCGGGCCTCAATGCCATGAGTCCTGATTGTGACATACGAACTTCGCTCTGTTCGCTTTGTTTACCTCCTGTAAATAAAATGTCTCAAAGAAATTTGAAAATTCAGAATTAGTCATACTACAGAATAATTTTCATTGGTTTGTTTACCTTAAACTGTTTTATAAAGTTTCGTTTTATAGAGTGTACGAATTAATCTCGGGGAAAACTCCTAACCGAAAGAAATGTACTCGCTGAGCGTAAACATGTCAATCAAATGACGATGAAATGTTTCGTTGCTCTCTGATTTCCCTTTCTTTGTATTGAATTAAATAGTAGTCTTAGACAGTCTGGCACGAGGTTTTTGTGTTTACAATAATGGTGTTCTACTTCTACTACAGCCGCAATTTGTGATCACGCAACGTTAGATAAACCTAAACGATTTCGACAGACAGTAGATCGATCTTATGGATCTTGTCTAAAAGTACACACGAGTGACCACGAGTGACCACGAGTGACCACGAATGACCATGCACGAGTGACCACGAATGACCACGAGTGACCACGAGTGACCACGAATGACCACGAGTGACCACGAATGACCACGAGTGACCACGAGTGACCACGAGTGACCACGAATGACCACGAGTGAGTTGTGTGTTTAAAAGTCATAAAATAATAATAAAAAACTATTTTAAGGTGGCTCCATAGGGTTTTTGCATTATACTACACTTTTGTATCCAGAAAACTCCCGTTTCTTCACTTTACATAACATGAAGACGAAATTTATTGGACACATTGACAATGCTCTCCTGAACATTGCAATTTACTACTTTTGCGCTTAAACTCCGTTACCATGGTAACAGCGTGCTTAGAATAATTAAGCTCCGAAAATTTGTCTTTTTCCGGCCGTTTTAAAAATTTACAAATATGCATAAAAGATCTTTCTCGTATAATGATTTTTTTCTTCAATTTTTAAAAATTCTATGGAACGTTACTTAGATTATTCCCTTCAATAAAATTTTAAGAAAAAAGGATATTGAGCTTGTTTAGCCGATACCGTAAACCTCCGACTATAAGCCCCCCCGAATATAAGCCCCCCCTTGTATAAGCCCACCACATGTACTAACGCTCACATCATTCCAAATATAAGCCCCCCCCTCGAATATAAGCCCACCCAAATATAAGCCCCCCGAATATAAGTCCCCCAATTAAAATAAGCCCAGTAATCGCTGCTTAATACACGTTTTTTCCCTGTTTATGACTGACTTGTTTATGTCTGACTTGTTTATTACTAACACAAAAGATCGTCCATGTATAAGCCCACCCGTATATAAGCCCCCTCTTGTATAAGCCCATCAAAAATCGCTTACGAAATTATATAAGCCCAGGGCTTATACTCGGAGGTTTATGGTATGCATGTTAATTGAAAATGTTTATACACATAAATTACAAATCACGAGGCTACAAGTGTCGACATTTCTACTTAACATGCGTTGAAATCAGATTTTGTTGCAAGTTGCAGCAATTTTGTTGCCCGTATTACTCCACCTTAACCATCCACACGTCTTCGGTGCACAAGCACAACTTACGTAGGGCAAATCATACTGATTTTTTTTGTTCCTAGACATTTGTCAGAATTTTGTAAGAAAAGCTTTAGCTACATCCCGTCCATGTATGCTTTCTAAACTGCTTAAATAGTGCTCCCATTACGCTTTGCGCGCTTAAAGTTTAAGGTTTAAGGTTTTAGAGTTTAAGGTTTGCAAAGGACAACCTTTATTGAATTAGCTGTATATATATATATATATATATATATATATATATAT